CTCGCTTATTTCTGATGTCTACTTCTAAAGAAATCACTTAATCTATCCTTAGAAAATATATTCAGAAGATGCTGCTGCTGAAAGCCATTCCAGAGAAGAGCGCCAAAAACGCTATGGACGACGCCGGCCACGTGACCGGAAAGGGGTGGGGCTTCCTCAGGTGACTTTTTTGAAGTAGAGAACCCTTGTTCTGAAATAAAGACCTCAGGAACAACATTCTGGCCTTAAAAAAAAATTCAGACTCATGGCCTCAAAATCACTCAAACTTGGCGTGATACAGATGTCAAAAACAGGAGGCCCCCAGCAAGGTCGGGCTGACGGCCTGCCGTGTGCGTGGCGCCCCAGAAAGGACACGGGCTGTGTTAAACCCCAGAACAGACTTCTCGACTTCTTCAAGCCTCGCTCTCCTCCGCTGAAGTGGCAAAATGCCATTTCAAGCAGACAGAAGATCATGCGCAGAGGGAAGGAGGCACAACACATTGGGGGGACCTCTGGACAGGTAGCCGGGGTCCAGGTGACACAAGGAGCTTGGACCTCATCTCTTTTCGGCAGCGTTTACTAACCTGAGGTTAGGGAGACAGTGGCAATTTCCTAAGCAAATAAATTCGAGAAAGGTTATCACGACCAAGTCTCTCTCACAATCTACACCAGTACACGAAAAGCTTGGGCTCGTCCTGTCGGAAAAGAAACCTGTTTACCTGCGCTTTACCCCAGTTTCCCTAAAATTCTAGAGCCCAGAGGCCTTCCCCATCCCTCCCAGGCTCAGGAACGCACCCCCACGAACATCAGGGTGGGCACAGAGGAAACGCTGCCGAGTTCGGAGCAGAGCGGGGCCTTCACTGGGTTGTATTTTAGAAGATGACTCTGGGTCGCCGGTAAGGGGATGGCGTTTGTGGCACACGCTCAGCAATGCAGCTCAGAAAGGCAGATTAGATATAAGTGCTGTTAAATTCGCAAAGGCTGGCTTGCTGACACCTTCTCCTGTCTAATGTTTATGTTTTTTAAAGCTACACTGCTGGGCTCTGGGCTGGTCTCAGGAGACACACGAGTCCCTCCGGAAGGGTAGCCAGTGTCAGCACAAGAAAAGCACATTATTTCATTTTTATTTCTAAGAACGGCCTTCTCAGCATGACTTTAAAGTCGCTTTGGAACCTGATCAGAATATAAAATATCCCTTTTATACTAGCCTTAAATTATAAACTCAAAGAACTGAAATGAAGAAAAAAAATCTTTTAAGATACTTTTTGAAATCTGATGTTTGTCAACAAAACTGAGCATCCATCTCTTAGTGATTTCTCGAGGGTTTGAAGACAGTTGCTCAGTGTGCCACAAACTCTGAGGCTGTGTGGGGGCCTCTGACAGCCCGGACCAGCAGGAAGCCAAGCTCGAGGGAATACCTTTGACCTTCTGGTCTCGGGTTCCTGGTCTGCAAACGGAGAATGCCTTGTTGTAAAGATTAGCATAATGTATAGAAAGCACAAGGTACGCGGAAGTACTCAAAACCATCAACACCCCCTGCCCCTCGGTTTATCCGGGAAAAGAGCCAACAGACAGGTGATTTACCTTTTTGGAGAGTCAAACCCCTGTTCCAGCAAATCTCAGTGCTGTATTGAGCAGAGAGCATTTTATACTATTTCTTTGTTAATTATATTAAATAAAAATAATCACGATTTCCCAACGTTTTTTACTTCCAGTTAGGTGTCAGTCACTGAAAACCAACTCTACTTCCTCCTTTCATTGAACTTGTAGTTATCAGGTAATCAATCAATCGATATTTATTTACTGGCAAGTTAGGCAGAGTGGTGGCTTTTGTATCGGTTTTGTTGTTTGTTTTTTAAAAATAGTAGAGGACTTTGAGGAACATTTGGATGACAGTTTCTCCACCTTCAACTGGCACTACTGACACGTGAAGCCAGGCGGTTCTTTGCTGGGGTCTGTCCTGCCCATCAAAGGACCTCTAGCAGCATCCCTGGCCTCAAAGCCTTAGGCACCAAAAGTGTGCTTGTGCATGCACCGCTCCCCACCCCCCCCCAGTTGTTACAGCCAAGTGTGGGGGTGGGGGATGGCCAATATCCTCTGGACTGAGAACCACTGATCTGCAGTCTGCCCTAAAGGGGCTATTTCAGAAGGAGGGACATGGGGCACACAGCTCCAGGGCACATAGCTAACGCCACACATTCCAGGTCCAAAAAGCTTTCAAGCTTAGTTGGGAACCGGCTCAGTCAAGAAGTAGACTAAGTTTATCTCTTCTTAGCTTTCCTTAACTTTTCACATTCGTTTGGCACTTATCATAAACTACTTAATACCTATCTAATCATTTAACATCAAGACAATTACAATATATAAAATATGCAAGATAGGGGAGGAAAAATATCTATAAATAAACTCAAAACTCTAACACGATCATGTTTTAGCATGTTTTCCCCAAATCTCGGTGTGTGTATGTGTGTGCGCGCGCTTTTCTGCTCTTGGGAATTTTTAAATTTTCTTTTCATCCCTGCTATCGAGATAGTAGGACACGTCTCGAGACACATACCCACCCATACATACATATACATGCACACTTGCACACACACGTACATTCATGTGTGTGTGTGTGTATATACAATTCATTTTGCTTAGAATTCAGTGCACTCTCTCAATCTGAGATCTTAAATCTTTCTTTAGTTCTGGGACTTTTTCGGCTATTCTTTCTTCAGAAATGCCCCCTTCCCACTCCCTTTTCCTTCTGCCCGCCCCAGGGTGCAGAGATTCTCCTGTGTTCTTCCAAGAAGTTTTACAGTTTTATCTTTTACATTTCCATCTACTATTCATTTCAAACTCACTTTTATTTAAGGGATGAGAGCGGCTGTGGCTCATTTGTTCCCATGGGAATAGTCAATTTTTCTGGCACCATTTGCTAAAAACACTTTCTTTTCCCCATTGGATTGCCTTGGCAACTCTGCTGATAAATTTTTTTTAAAAAGGATTTAAACGTGGGCCTATTTCCAGATGCTCTGTTCCGTCACATTGATCTACCTGTTGACCCTGACACCAGCACCGCTGAGGGTTGCAGGATGAAGACAGCATCTTGACCTGAGTTACGTCTGAGCTCCTGAGCCCTAAGGTGGAGAGACCCCCTGGCTACTTTCCCATGAAACTGGACAGAGGGACGCCAAAAAAGATCTCGGCACTGTCTCAAGACCCGAAGAAAGGATGCGTCACCCTCATCTCACCTCCGACCGATCAGCTCCCAGCACGACCCTGAACCTGACCCACGGCCTCTTGTGATTTGCACCAAAGAATCTGTAACCTGCACACCACTGGGAGGCTCTGATTTGGGGCATCAACTTCCCATTGTCCTGGGTGGTGCCATTCATCAATAAAATAGTCAAACTCTCTCCACGGCGACTCTCGGTGTTCAGTGTTTGACGCTGCTAGTGCCGGATGGATGACCTCTTTCCGCTCAGAGAAACTTCCAGTGCCCCAATATTGCCACTCTTGTTTCCAAATGAGACTATACAGTCATTTAATGACTAAAAAAAAATATTTCCAATCATTTATAAGGTTTTGTGCAAGAGGCAGACCTGGCACATATGTGCGGCCTGCAATCTTTAAGTCAAAGGTTGCAGCGGAGTTTTTTTCTTCTTTAAAATATATTTATGTAAATCTATGAACGAACTAAATGACAGGTGCAGGAACAAGTCCAGAGTCCCCGTCGGCCAGTTTGGCAAAGCTGGTTCACGCAGTGCTGCTGGGGGAACCTCAGCTACATTCCAGAAAACGAGCAGCACGAAGTGGGGTGGGGTGGGGTGGGGGTGGAGGGCAGAGCCCCACACAATGATTACATGATTAGCGAAACTAGACATACTTGTAACATGTGAACACCCCCAACTCACCGATACAACCCGCAGGCCCAGATGCAGAGTTCGGCTGATTATTCATTAACGGTGACCAACCTCGTGGCATCAGGACTATGTGATATTTCCACCAGGAAACCCCTAGGTTTTCTGTACTCACCCAGCCCCGAGATGTTTATGGCTTTCACGGATTTCTTCATTTTGTACAGAACCATCCGGTCCACGTCCAAGGCCTGAAAGATAGAGAACGTACCAATTAAAACGCGTGTTTCAGCTCAAGTCACGGCTATCGGAGAGTGGCCATGTGATGGCCACTCCGCAAGCCCCTCCGGGCTGCGTGTGCACACACGTCCTCAGGGTGGTGTGAAGACCGAGCAGTCACTGAAGCAACAGCCCTCGAGTGCTTCATACACCTGCAGCACATGACGGCCTGGCCTCTGTCCACACCACCTGCTGGACGCTGGCCTTCTGCAGCGAAGCCACTCAGACCAACTCTGCTGCTAAGGCATTTCGGTCCTCTCGGCAAGGCTCTGGGAAGCGCGGCCATTGTGTCTGTGCCCCTTCTGTGACAGGGGAAGGGCGGCGGGCAGGAGGGGAGACTGGGTGGGGTGAGGCAGAGTGCCACGGCACTTCCCCCCCAGACAGCCACCTTCCAGCACCAGACCGGCCTGGCCAGAGGCAGCAGGGCCAGTGGGAGGCAAACCCACTCTGAACTGGGAAAGACGCAAATATGAACTTGTTTGTTTGGTTTGGAAGGCATGTTCCTAAACCTTGCCAAGCCTCAGATTTCCCTTCCAGAAGACAGGAGTAACAATATCTACTTTGCAAGGCTGAATGACTAAACAGACACACTTATGGACTTAATATTCGACAAATATTTATAGACCAACCATGACACAGCAGTGCTCTACAGCACTTATAAGGCCTCGCACACAGTTAAGTGCTCAAACAGTATTTGCTCAATGACTTGTCAAACTTGGAAACTTAATTACAGCTCTGCTTTCGCAAAAGATATGGGGCTGAAATTTCCATTTAACCCAATGAAACGCCACAGAAGATCAATGCGTGTCACTTTCAGTTGCCGTGATGGGAAGGAGACAGCGTTTGGAGACAGGGGCAGTGATGTTACTCACGCGTTACTGTAGACACTAAACGAAAAACCGCAGAGGATGCGCCCGGCCCGGTATCTGATATAAAGCAGACACTCGGTAACAGGAGTCGTCATTCACCATGAATTTTGATCACGACAAAAATCGCAATGGCCTACCACTTGAAATGGAGCACACCAGCTCAGGGCGGTGGCTTCCGGACCTCCGGCTTCCCTGAGTCACCTCCTGATTCCATATTCAATGGCAGCACTGGGAGTCCTAGATCTAACGCAACAGTGACTCTTTCACTGGATGCTAAAAACAAATGCGACTGCTGCTGACAAGTTTAAATAGAAAAACAGTCGCAGGCATTTGACAGAGTGAGTACAATACAAAGAGAGGCTGTCATTTAAGAAAGCGTTATTTTCTGCCATATTGTACAGAAGGGCAGGGAAGGACTGATGAAAGGGGGTTGAGATTTCATGTAGAGAATTTTATTTTCCTAGGATATCACTCTAGCCAATTCCTGACCTTTCCTTGAGATATAAAAAGAGATTTGAAAACAGCGAATAACCCATGAAAATCACTGCTGAACTCTTCTTTCTCACGAAGTCTCATCAACTTTTACTCCCCAATCTGCCGCCCAGTAAATAACATCCTGCAACACACGCACCAACTTTCAGAGTTTTGCCAGCAACAACGAGGCAGGATTCACCAAGGGCTGTGTCAGAAACACTGGCTCCTGAAGGTTTAGTGGCCCTGTGTCAGCAAGCACAGCTCCCACACACAAAGAAACCGATTTGACGCACTCGTCCGAGTTGTGAAAGGTCCCGATCCCCAGGTGAGGGGCCGTCGCTGAAAAACATGTGATCTAATCGACATCTCATCTAGCACTTGGAGGGAATGTGGTGCTGCCCAGCGTTCAGAACTAACAGGACAGTATCTGCACTGTGTTCACAAAATAAAACCCGCCCCACCTCCTACAGCCTCCGCACACGGCAGACGGCACCTGCTTACACTGTATGGAACACCGTACGTCAGCCAGCATCCCCAGCGAGCCCCTTCTCTGTGCCGGGAGGTGTGAGGGAGAAAACTCCATGCACGCAGGGTGCAACCGCACGACCGAAGTTCCAGGTCACCCGTAAGGCTTCCTGATGTCCTCAGAACATCATCTTGACTCTAGCACGGATTTAAAACCTTTTTGTGATCTGGCCCTGGTACCTGTCCAGCCTCATCTCCTGACGGCTTCCCCACTTCCACCTGCACCCCAGGCTTCCATCACAATGAACTACTCTAGCTCCCCACCTTCTCTTTACCTCCAAGCGCCACCCACTGTCCCCCAACTCCTCAGACTACTTCCCCTGCTTCCCTCTTAACCTGTTACCTTCTTCTCCGACTTTGCAGGTTGCTTTAGAGACAGCTCCTCCTTCCGGAAGCCCTATCGGACGGGTTAGTACTCACCCTGGCTTTTCCCGTGGCACCCTGTGCTCACTCAACAGTCCGTCTGGTAAAACTTACTCAGTGCCTAGTACGAAGTATTAAGCGGCGCCAGAGACAGAACGGTCAGCAAAACGGGGCAATGCTCATGCCTCCCTGGGGTTTACAATCTAGCACGAGAATCCCCTAAACGCACCCAAAGCCGAAGTCCAGGCCTGACCGCTGCACTGACCTGCCTTCCTCCTTGTCGCTCTGCCCGGAGACCAGCGCTGTCCAGCGTGGTACCTACCGGCCACACGCCTGTGGAGCACTGGGATGTAGCTGGTGTCACATGCTAAAACGGTGATATCCTGGACATATTAGGTCAAATAAAATGTTAACAAAATTAACTTTGCTGCTTCTTTCTGCCTGTTCCGATGCTCTCACCAAGGGCGGGAACTCGTTCACCTCCGTGTCCTCAGAGCTCAGCAGGCAGAACAGGACTCAAAGAGCAGCTCAGTAAATGGCAATAAGCCTAGAAAGGCAGGGACTCGAACCCAGGCCAGTGTCCCCGCCGAGCCGGGGACAATGGGCAGCTACCCAAGGCTTCTCAGCGGTGTGTGTATATGTGTGTGGGGGGGGGAGGGGCGGGCAGGGGCTGGACTTGGAGGCTTTTCAGGCCACAGAGGGTACAGCAGGTCTGGGTGGGCAGGAAGTAGATTCGGGGAAAGGCCACCCAAAGGCGAGGGACCCGCAGGGACCACGGCAGGGCAGCAGACATTCTGGAGAGCCCAGGGGGCCCCATTCTGCCTCTCTCAACTGGACTCCAGCACTCCTGTCTCCAGCAGTCCCCAGATGCCAGAGCGACCTCGTGTCCCCAGAGTCGGGCTTAGTCACGCTGGGAAAATGGGAGTGGAGGTCGTCCTACAAGTAGAGAAGGCCGCCCAGCGAAGCAACATGCTTTGTGACCCGTGGAACTGACAGATTTCCTCCCACGTTGTACTGCGGGACGCGCCCCTCCCAGACCATTTACTGAAGAAGTCATGTAACACCAGCCATTGAGGGGAATCCTCTGCCTTCGAAATTAAAGGGCACGTGCTCTACCTGAATACAAACGAGTGGATAAACAGTAACTGCTGCTTTGCCACCGTCTGGGAAGAAGAGCTTGGAAATCAAGGTGAGGCAGGCAGTACAGGTACATTTTAATTAAAATTGCAAGAGGGAAAAGCAATTACCTCCCCACTCAAAGACACACCCTTCGTTATGGTGCATATTTATAGACAATTAAGATTAAACTTGGTCGGGAGAAGTCAGAATGATTAAGCTGAGTGCTAGAAAAAGTCTTCTGTCAATTATATAGAAAAACAGCTCTGGAATCTTAAAACAGTAAATAAAACAAAATAAAACTTGATAGTCTCAAGAAACCAAGGGTGTCTACCAATCAGAGCGAGATTCGTAACCAGCCTAGGCACTCAGCCACACCATCCTCCCTGCAAATCTACCCGAGCTTACGAGAGAAAAAAGGCTGCAGCTTTGGCCAGAATTTGCGTGTGAAAACCTCAAACGGCCAAGACAGACCTAAGTAAGAACCGCCCAAGAGCTTAACTCCGGCCAAACCCCATTAATTCTGAGGCATTAGATTCAAGCTGACCTTAGTTTATAAAACAAGTTTCACAGAGTAAATTTATTCCGTAAACAAGGCTGTAGGGATGCGTCTCAGATACGGCAAAGGGAAATAAACAACTGTTTTCAACCACTTCGAAAGCGTCGCTTTTGATCCCTAGACTGTGATGCCATCAGCCGTGGACCCTTCACTCCCGCCAGCCACGCTCCCCGGTCCCTGCCCGTCCCAGCCGGGGCTGCCGCTCCGGGGCCGTGTGTGGCGTGGGAAAGGACGGCCCTCCTGCGGAAGAGACCACGGGACTGTTCGCTGCCCGTGCTGTCCAGGAGGGTGGCCGCCAGCCACATGTTAACATTTAAAAAAAAATTAATTAAAATTGAATAAAATGAAAAAATTCAGTTGTCTCGTCACCTTTCTCAAGAGCTCCAGCCACAAGCAACATACTGACTCGACTGTTTCTAAACGTGCCACCCCTTACGTTTTTGCTGTCCCCGCAGACCCCTCTGTGTGCCTGGAATCGTCTAGGGGGTCCTCCCCGCTTTCCTCCACGGCCAGAGCACAAACATCACCATATTACACACCTGTCTCCCTTTAGAGGGCTAGTCTGTGTCCCCAGAGCCCTGCAGGGTCCCCCATGCTGACGTGCGGGCACCTTCGTCCCGGTGCTGGACGGGGGGCAAATCCATGGTCTCTCTGAGATGAGCCTGGTGCAGGGTGGGGGTCCGCAGGCCACACATAGCCCTCGGCACGTTTCTGTGTGACCATGAGCTGAGGGTCTGTACAGACAAATGTCTCCTAATGACGTGAGAACGGGCTGGTGGGGAGCACTAATTCTGAACCCCATAAGAGAATGATATCCCCCAGAAAGAATTCCATGCTTCTCATTAGAACACATTGCCGAGAAAATTATACTCCACTATTACTGCTGCTACTACTACTACTACTATTATTATTATTATTATATTATTTGGAATTTCATTAACAAAATAAATTTTTGTGGAAATTTATTTTTCTCTTACAAGTAGCTACAATATATCTTCACTTTTGCGTCTAGCCTGAAAAGCCTCAACTATTCACTGTCCGGCCGCACACGGAGTCCAGACCCCTGACCCAGACGAGCCACCCCATCTCCTAGCCCTGCCGGCCAGCCCCCCCGCCCCGCTCCTCATGGCCCTGCTCCAGAGGCGATGGCACGGCACTAGTTCAGTTCCCTGCACCCCGAGGACACCATTCGAGCCAGCAAGGGTGGAGAGGGGGGCTGGCTTCATTCTTGGAACTTGAAGCCGCTGTCCTAGGAGAAGTGAATGGCAGAACACACGCCTCCTCCCCCATGCAGGCTGCCTGGGAGTGACATTCCACTCTCATGCCCCATCTCATCTCCCTTACGAAAGGCCAACCTGTGAAGACGTGACATTATTGAAAGGCAGTGGACTAAATAAAAAGATGAAACAACGCCCAGACCTGTGCCCCATGGATAGCTTCGCCAAGAGAGCCGAACATTTAGATGGCAGCGTTGCTCATCACACTTTTGACTTTACTCCTGAAGTAACATCAGTGACAGTGTCAACCGCTCCCAGAGGCTTCTGGGAAGCACAGAAACGCATGTGGCCTGCAGGCTTGGTGTCAGGCCAGCGTAATCGTGGGTCTGCCGACTTCTGGAAGAAAGCAGAGGCCCAGAGAATAGCAGGTGTCAGCAAGAATTAAGATCACAAAGAGCCAAGCAAGTCACAGCTGTGTGAACGTGTGCCTCAGGCCACACGGGAAGGACATACTGTGGCACTATCCAATGAAACCGAAGGTGCTCATGGCACAGACGCATCTGCACCTGATGCCCACGGCATTCGAGACAGCCGGACACTGGACAAAGCCACAAGCCTGTCGATGGCGAAATGGACGACATAACATAGAGTCTCCACGGCAAAAGAAACAAACTTCACCCACCCAGAACACCCATTCCCCAAAAATGGCAAGGAAAAGAAGCACGTTGCGAGAGTTCACATGCAATATAATACCATGAAATGTTTTCCAACAGGCAACGTTAGACTACCTGGTTTATGTCTACGGATGTATATGCTGCTGAGAAAAATGGGAAACTCCAAA